GTGGACTCTCTTCTTCTAGGTCATATTTAGGAATGAAGGAAATAAGTACCACTTTTTGAGGATTTGTGTGGTCTTGCCCAAGGCTGATATTTTGAGCTTTGAAGAGTTTTTCTACCTCTAAAATTCTCTTTCTGCAGCCTCTCCTTTGCCCTAATTGCTCAGAAAGCAACACAATGAAGAAGAAAAAACGAGAGCTTGGCTTAGTTTCTTTGTAGTTTGTTCGTATTTTAAGACACCCCTCCTTCAGAGTTAGGTCGATCAGGGGTCAAAGACCTGGTGTGTAACTTTCAGAAAGTTACTTAAGCCTCCATTTCCGCATCTGTAAAATGTGCGTAATTGCACCCCCTTTGGAAAGTGATGTTCTTTTAGTGCAATATCATAAGGAAGTATCTAGTACAATGCTTGGCACATGCCAAGAACTTACTAAAGTTGCTTATTTCTCTCACCCTCCCCCTTCACCCTGTCCACTGGAATGAATATCAAAACCATAAAAGTACATTCAGCTCCATCTTTGTCAAGTTCTTATGGAGTATTTTTTCCTGAAATTTTTAGGTTTGTCAATACTCAGACTATGAATAAAAATGCCCACGTCACATGGATAAACATCGAAAAGCTAGCTTTGCGTCCAGCTTTGTCACTGTACATGCCCTCTGGCTACTATTACTGCAGAGGATGAGACGACAGGTCCAGCTTTCACAGTATTCCTTTTGCTTATCTGACTGAGCAATGGGAAGACTGAAGAAGCCATTCTAAATCCATAGGATCCTACCCCAGGGAAGTCATCATTCCTCAGGGTGACTCAGCCACTGCTACCATAAGCTTTATCTTAAAATGAGAATCCTGGAGGAACCGGTTTTTAGCAGTGGTTGGCTAACTATTTACTACCCAAGGACCATATCTGGCCCACCTCCTGTTTTTGTACCAGGGAGCTAAGAAAAATACTACATATTTTAATGGTAAAAAAAAAAAGAATAATGTTTCATGACATGTGAAAATTCTATGAAATTCAAATTTCAGTGTCCATATACAAAGTTGTTGTTGGGATACAGCCACACCCATTCATTCCTGTGTAATCTATGGATGCTTCTGTGCTACAGTGGCTGAATTCAGTAGTTGCCACAGAGGCTGTAAGGCCTACAAAGTAATATATTTACTATCTGGCCCTCTAAAAAGTTTTCTGCCCCCTGGTGCAGAGCGCAGACTCCAGTGCCCGTCAGCCTGGCAGCATAGCTCAGCTCTGTGTTGCTTCCATTGGGCAAGTTCTCTCAGCTCCTGTTTCTTCAACTGAAGATGATAATAGCATCTATCTCATGTGGCTTTATGCGAATTAAGCAAATATGTAAAGTGTTCAGAAGAGGATCTGGTACATATTAAATTTAAGTACTATCTGTTTGTCTGTTGTTGTTACTATTAGTTGCCACAATTTTTTTCATAAACTAAAGCAGCAGCAACAGCTTACCAATTTGCTAGCAATAATTGTAAAAATTTCATTTGCAGCACTCCAGTAAATAAATTCTTCAGTAGTGGGGCAGGAGAAAGAAGTCTAAAGTCAACTGAAATGACAATGTGCATAGCAGCTCATCCACAAAGCTAATTTTGTATTACTTACAGATATTTTATATGCTATATTCTTCTTTCAAGCTTGAGCCTCAAAAGAACCTACACTCCACTTTGAATTTTGCCCTCACCATCCATCTATCCCTTATAACTATTTCTAATTAGCTCTTTCTGAAGAAACAGACATCAAAACAGAGGCCAAGGAACAGAATTCAGAGCACAGAAATAAATTCGCACATATACAATCAACTTATCTTCGACGGGAGTGCCAAAAACACACAATGGGAAAAAGGATTGTCTTCAACAAATGGTGCTGGGAAAACTAGATATCCATATGCAAAAGAACGAAATTGCACCCTTATCTTACACCATACACATAAGTCAGCTCAAAATGAATTAAAGACTTAAATGTAAGTTTTATAGATGAAACTTAAAACTCCTAGAAGAAAACATTGGGGGAAAGCTTTATGACACTGGCCTTGGCAGTGGTTTCATGGCGATGACACCTAAGGTACAGGCAACAAAAATAAAAATGAGCAAGTGGGACTACATTAAATTAAAAAGCTTCTGCACAGCAAAGGAAATAACAGAGTGAAAAGGCAACCCATGAAATGGGAGAAAATATTTGCAAAACATATATCTGGTAAGGAGTTATAAGGAACACCTGCTACTCAATATGTATAAGGAACACCTGCTACTCAACAGAAATAAAACTAATAATCTGATTTTAAAAATGGGCTAAGGACTTAAATAGACATTTCTCCAAAGAAGACTTTCAATGGCCAACAGATAGAAGAGAAAGGGCTCAAAGCCACTAATTATCAAGGAAATGCAGATCAAAGCCACAATGAGAGATCACCTAATGCCTGTCAGAATGGTTATTATAAAAAAAAAAAAGATAATAAGTGTTGGCAAGTATGTGGAGAAATTGGAACTCTTGCACATTGTTGGTGGGAATGTGGAATGGTGCGGTCCACTATGGAATACAACATGAAAATAAAACTATCATATATTCCAGCAATCCCACAATGGATCCAGACTCAAAGAAAGAAAATCCTAGAGGGAAGTTGGGGGGGAGGGGGTAGGAAGAGATTATCCAAAGAATTTATATACATATATGCATAACCCATGGACACAGGCAATAGTGTGGTAAAGGCCTGGGGCGGGGGCGCAGGGTAGAGGGGATCAATGGGGAAAAAGGGGGATATCTGTAAGACTTTAAATAATAAAGATGAATTAAAACATAGAAGAAGGAAAGAAAGTGACTTTGGGGTCCAGATTTGAGAAAGAGGCAATAAGCCATGTGTCTATTTGCAGGCAGAGCAGACCAGACAGACTATATATATGGTAAGCTTTAGGGCAGGAAATGGCTTCTTGTTTGTCAGAAGACCAGTACGGATGACAACTGCTGGACAACTCTGGGCCCAAGAAAGCAAAAGGGGAAATGAGTAGGTGAGTTTAGAGGGGTAACAAGGAGGTCCTCATGGTCCATTATAAGAACCTTGGCTTATGCTCTGTGTCAAATAGGAAGCTACTGGAGAATTTTGAGCAAAAGAGAGACATGATCCATTTCAAATATGCTGTATTTTAAGAGAATACATCTGGCTGCAGTTTTGAAAATTGACTAGAGAGGCTGAAGAATATGNGCCATATGCTACAATATGGATAAACTCCCAGGACCTTATGCTAAGTGAAATAAGTCAATAATAAAAAGACAAATACTGCATGATTCCAATTATATGAGGTATCTAAAGTAGTCAGACTTAAAGAAACGGAAAGTAGAAAGGGGCCGGAGTTAGAAGGAAATCGTTCATGGCTATGGAACAATGAGGAGTTGTTCGGTGGGTATAGAGTTTCAGTCATGCAAGATAAAAAGGCTCTAGCTTTGGCAGTGGCCCTATCATAGCCAATGGGGTTTATCCGAGGTGCGATTATTACTAATTGAAAACTTTTCCCAATACGCCACAGTGACGACTTGAAATGCTGTCAGCATTGGCAATTTTTGACACTTTATGGAGAATGAACTAAAAAATAAATAAATGAAAAGGTTCTAAAGATCTGGTACAACACTGTGCATATAGTTAACAATACTGTACAGTTCACTTTTTGTTAAGAGGGTGGATGTCATGTTACGTGTTCTTACCACCAAAAAGGTAGAAAAACCCCCACAGAGGCCAAAGGACTCAAAAATGCCCAATCTATCTCAATCATTGCTATGATATTTGAAAACAGTAATTTACTTTCTGAATCAAACACAAAACAGATAATATATAGTTTACTCGATATGAGACAACAGGGACTATTAGAACTTTTTACTCATAACGCAGGACTTTCATCTTTGGAGCTCGGGTATCCAAAAAAGAAGACTGGAGGGAAGTTACGCATAAGGGGAAACAATGACCCGAGGGAAACCACCGCCCAGGATCCGTGGACAAGCACAGAACCGCGCTCAGCAGATGCTCCCGTTAGTTCAATGTTGGTGGCTCCTTCAATTTTCCTGTGCAACCTCCACTGCAAATACTGTGATGAATCTTGCTCATTAATGCATTTTAAAAACGTTAAAATTCAGAAAAACATTCCGCATGACTGAAACGACAGGAGCCAACCAAACAGAATCTCGCGTCGGTAGAGCTTCAGACTGTTCAACCGGGTGAAAAAGGAAAACGTGTGGAGTAAAGAAAACCATTTTCTCTCACCCTCCTGAACATTCTCACCAGCACGCCCTTCGCTTGCTCTAAACCCCTCTCGTATAAAAAGTGGCTGAGTCATCTGGGAGGGAAGGCTTATTTTGCCTGATTCATCCCGATACTATTCCAAACTCCTTTTCGGCGCACGGTCTGCGCCTGGCCGCGCCGCCCGGCACCCGCCCGGGGTGCTCCGGGGCCGTACCCCGCGACCCCACCTGAACCCTGAGGCGACAGCGTCCCCTAGCGAGGAGCAGCCGCTGTCGTGGAGCGGACCGCGCAGCGCTGCCTCGCACGCCGTTCCTGAAGTTTCTGTTTCTGCAACACTGTTTCTGGCGCTTTCACATTTTGATCTTTCCACGCCGCCTCCTTCCCCACCAGCATCTAAGCGCTGCCCTAATACACTCAGCCCCTTCCAGGGAGGCTGCACTCTGCTCCGAGCCCGTCCAATAAAGTTGTTTAAAATTTAAAAAAACAAGACAGAAAATAGCCAAAGAGGAAGGAAAAAAAAAAAATTCCCGGGGCCCTGCCTTGATGTTGGAATGTACCATTCGTCCCGAAGGGAGGAAAGGGCCTGGTGTGGATGACTTCGCGGGTCCGAAGTCGCTCACGGGGCCGTCGAGGACGCACGGCCTGGGCACGTGGGATATAAAGGC